CAGCTTGACATGGGCACCGTGTAATCCTGAAAAACCTATTTGTTCTTTCTTTGATTTGAAAATAAAAAATAAAACATTCCATTCTTTATCACCGTGCCGCTGTTTTTTATCATAAATGACGAGAATCATAAACGTTTTAAGAAATAAAAGCATTTTAGATGAACTTATGAATGATTATAAACTTTTGTTTTGGAGAAATGAACATTATGAACATTTATTATCTTATTTAAGAATGCTGTCAAATCCTTTTTAGACACAGGATTTGAAACGTAAGCAAGGCTAATACTCTCGTCTTTCTGGCAAGTACACTCCCCTCCAGAAGTTTGGCAACCTTAGCTCCCTCCTCTTTATGTTTGAATTTTTATTTAAATAACCTGCGAGGATAATACTTATAATATTGATGGAAATGTATCTTGACTTCATTTCCAATGCCACAAAGTCTCCCATTTTTTAATGTAAACCAAGGGGAACCAATGAGCTTTATAAATAATTAGTAGATTAGATTCAACCGCAGGCCATCTGAAATTAGGTCTTTGGAGTTTAAAAATCTCGATAATCCGTTGACGATTATCAGTGGATCCATTTTTTTTAGAAAATAAAAAGTGATTATCAGAAAGCAATGCATATCGGTACACCACGTGATTTTTTATATTTTTGAACTGTGACAATAAAATACTCATTCGAAATAATAAATCTAGACTTATTTGATATAATCCTTCTTATGCCTTTGCTTTCCTCAGCAAAAGATGTAGTCCAGCGGAATAATGGCATATTGAAACTTTTGGTTGCCTTGTAGGATATATGCTATATCTTTGTATTTTCTTTATCTATAAGATAATTAGTAATTACTTTCAAAATCAGAACTGTGCCGGACTGGCACTGTTGGGCAAATTTTTTTACAGCATTGTATAGGTGGCGCCCTTTGTAAAATGCCTATTTCACAATTTTTTAAGGGCTGTTGGTAGAGTTGGTAGAGTTGGAAACTTTAACCAATTCAAATAAACTGTATTTAGTCTAAACAATATGTCAACGTTGTTTCATTACATAGAATCACAAATTTAATGAGATATGCTTGATTTGTTACCCTAGCGCCACCTATTTTTAAGGGGTCACTATGTTTAATAAGCATATTTTGCAAACTAAGCAAAATTGTGATCTGAAATTATTCATGACTTTAAATTAACCCATGTCAGAGATAGTGTGAAAATATGAGACTTGTATTTTATTTATTTGAAGAGAAAAAATATATTAATATAGACTTCCTTGTATTCAGCAATATTAAAATGTATGAAAAATATCACTGTTATAACTGTGAAACATTGAAAAATATAATATCAGCAGATTCTGTGAGTCTAATTATCAAACTAAGCTATTTATGTAAGATACATAGGTTCTTTAAATTAAAATATTTCAGAAAATAATAATGTATACCCTTTTTATAGGGGGAGGGGGGGGTAGATGACACGTTTAAAATGTGAAAGAAACTCATTGTTGACAGTGTAAGTAGGTCATCCCTGTTGTATAAGGGTTAAATCTTAGACCATTTATTGGAAGTGTTACATCTGTACCAGGGACACCATAATTCGGGGGCTACAATACTAGGTTAGCTAGGACTAGTGGCGCCATCATTAAACCTGCAATAAAACTTGCATACAGCCCACTTCTTGATGTTAAGCCAGTGGACCCAAGCACAATGTTAACCATCATGCATCAGGCAAAGGAGTTGACCCAAACAGATAAACAAGATTAAACAATTTTGAGGACGCACCAGCAGTTGTACAAAGTGGCCCCTGATGGCATTTTCTGGACCCCAACAACCTTTATTATACATTCATCAACAGGCTCGGGGGCATGTACATCCTCATGAGTTTTGTTGGTTGTGTCGGCATCCTAATGTCAAACAGATGAAAAGTAGAGATAAACAATTTGCTGGGGAAACCAAGATTAACAGGCAAGAATTACCCTAACAATGTTCAAGCATTGAGACTCCTTGTTGAAGAACTATCGAAGCAAGTAATTCATCAGGTAAACAGCTACCAGGAACTCATAGATGTTCTTAACTCTAAATTGTCAGAAAGAAAAACTAAAAATGCCAGTATTTATCATGGTGCAACTTGTTAGGGCTGAAAGGGAAGGCAACTGGCTGCTCCATTTGGCAGCTGTTGACCCATCTATGCTTCCCTATTTCTTTGCTGCATGACAATATAACTAATAAGGACTGTTCTGTCTACTAGACATGGAGAGACTTCCACAGAATGTTGTTAATGAATGTTGTTTCTCCAAGGACAGCATATCACCCGTCATCCCATTTAGAATGGAATCTGGTTAAATATGATGATAGAGACCACTTATTAGTACCAACAAAATGTTCTGCAAAGCAAGCCCAATGTCCTAATTAAGAACCCCTATTCTCACCTTTGAAAATGGATTATAGCAATACTATTCCACATGAATCTACTTGTTTAGACTCAATCAACTGTTCTTCTGAGAAAATGAGGATTTTAGCAAGGGTGCATTGACTGAACATAAATAATATAAAATAATAAGTAATATAAAATGTATTTAAATCCATGATGGTGTTAAGGATAATTTAGTCAAAATAGACTTTTGAATTTAACTATTTTACAAATTGCATATCGTTTAATATTAGGATTTACTGTAATAACAAATAATTTTTTTCTCTTAAAATATTTAATAGTACAGAAGCTTTTTATTTTAGCACCATCCCAAACATGTATCAGGTCATATCTATGAATAATGAGAGATCACAATTACGCTTTGTTCAAATTTTATGCCTTCAAAACATAGTGACCCCTTGGAATATATGTGATATCAGGGGGGGATAAATGACCAGTACTCTGTAAATATGAGATTTTAGGTAAGGAAAAAATAGACATGCTATTAAGGATATATAAAAGGTTATACTAGGTGGCTTGAGTTAAAGACTCTGCTCAAGCTGCAAGATCATTTAAAAAAATTCCTTAATTAAAAGGGTATTTCATAGGGGGCGCCACCTATACAAGGCTGTAAAAAATTTTGCCCACCAGTGCCAAACCAGCACAGTTCTGATTTTGAAAGTCAATAACATATAGATGAAGAAAATACAAAGACATAGCATACATCCTAGAAAGCAACCAGCTCCATCGATTCCGCTGGACCAATGACTGCATCTGGCTTTTTTATTTGTCAGAACTTTCCACTGCACGTACTGTCCAATTGTGTTCATATTTTCAGGAAAGAAAGGCGAGACTGTGTATGTATACCTCCTGTTGTTAGTTAGTTGAAAACATGATGTCTTTTACACATGCTCAAAAGCATTTCGACCATGACTGTTAAGTCCCTAAAGTGATTTTGATTTCACCCTACAGATTTACCATACAGTGAATGAAGATGATTTGTGCCCAATTTGAAGAGCCATAGACCATGGTTAGGAAGTTATTTTATTTTTCTGCGGTTGCAGTCCTCCCTGACTGCGTTTTTCGTATTTTCTTAGTACAACTGTCTTTTGACCGAATGTCAATGGCATCATGTTTTACAACTAACTATCTACAGGAGCTATACATACACAGTCTCTTCTTTCTTTCTTGAAAATATGAATATAACTGAACTAGTATTTTTCAAGATATAGCGATTTCCCTGGGTTGCATTTTTTAACACCCTGTAAGTTGGGCGAAATTATCGATATTTCTTCTTTGCATAATGCTCCGGGGTTTTCCCAAAATTAGACAATCCCAACCCGTGCCTAAGGTTGCCAAACGTTTGGAGAGAAGTGTTACTTTACTATTTTTATCTATTGGTATAAATTGAATATATGTTTCTGGTTTTTGCAATGAATTTTTCAAAAAATATTTTTTGGGGAAAATCGCGACCGGGGGTTCGTCCGAACCCATCGAACCCCCGGTCCCTACGGCTATGCGCTCATTAAGGAGCCACAGGAACTATAAGATTTCCCTTCAAACAAGCGCTTTGGCTAAGAAATCTACAATTTTTAAAGGTATGGCCCTTTGGAATAACCTTCCACAAGATTATAGAATTGGTCAGCCAATTTCAAGATTTAAAAGAATAGTAAGAGGCGATGGAAGCCATGCTTCTACCCTATCAACGTCAAAACTAAAAAATGCCATGTCTCGCTACCTAGAAATTCCTTTAAACCGACTCAGGTCCGGACTTCTCTTGCAAGCTCACCTCCATGCACACAACTTTGAACGGGTTGCTAATCCTAAGACCTAAATGTTTATTTGACAATATAAACCAGACAACTTTACATTTCCTGTTGAAATGCCCACTGCTGACAGAACAGAGAACAACACTACTTGCAGGACTGGAGACGATAGGGATCCGTACCCACTATGATGGACTTAATATGCATGATCAATCCCAGTTCTTACTTTTTGGAGATAATAAATTTCCAGTAGATGTCAATGAGAAACTAATGAACATAAGATAGTAGCATATTATATCCACCAGGGTCCAGATCTTTTGGACATGTAATCGATTACAACATGTTACAATAGACTTTGGCAATTGTTTACGTTTGTACATCTGTATTTTATGGAATATGATAAAGATGATTAATAAAAAAAAGAAAGATTCTGAGTCTCAAGTGCCTGAAGTTAATCTGGACATACAAAGTGTTCCTACTGGAAATATAGTCAAACCAGTTATTCAACCTAGACCACAGCGTACTAGGAATGCACCTGCATATCTAAAGGACTATGTTACTAAATAATTTTGCAATCAAAATGAAATGATTCAAATTCAAATAACTCAGGTGTATCATGGACCTATAGATATAGGTCCATGGGTGTATTAAATTGTAATCATCTGAAAATGTGAGGTATTAAACACATGCCACATTTGACAACTAAAGATAACTTTTAACAAAAACATTGCATGATACTGTGATGAGCTATTACATAAGTTACAGTTTTTCTATTCAAAGGTTTAGCAACAGCTTAGCCTTAAGGAAAATAGTTATCAGATTAGAATTATTTTAAGTACAATTTAAATGTTCTGCTCACTCACTAAGAATAAAACAGATTTAATCTTTTATTTCCCATGCAATCATACATATTGATGTCATGAATCAGATTAGACTATTTGTAATACATGTACTTGAGTTTATCTTCTGAACATCTTGATTCAGAAACTTCGGAAAGGAAAGGATGTTTCAATATATGCTAACACCCCTACTTTATATATTGAACTAATCCAATGTACTATACGCTATCAAGGAGGATTGGCTCCCAGAGTGCAACATCGATATTCTGTCCCATATATGGGCATGTCGTGATACAAAATTTGAATTCAAACAGCCACCATTTTGTTCACTTCAGCATTTGAATCGTGAATTTTGGTCTTGTTTCCGAACGAAAAATTCCAAAACTCAGGAGAAATGATCGAGATATTGGTTCGAATCTTTTGGACTGTTTATTTTGAATTTATAGTTGGTTATAATTTCAGAAAATAACGACATTTCGACGATTTCATTGTTGGAAAATATCGAGTTTCGATCCTGGGAGCCAATCCTCCTTGATACGCTATGTACAGTCTAGCTCACAAGTGTTTCAAACCTTATCATTTTGATAAATGCCGGTAAGATGGGAGTTTGTTTGATGCATAGAAATGCAATCAACCTAGTGATTTAAGTAGAGGTTTGACAAGTGACCTTAGACATGCAATGTTACGCCTTTCTTCACACATACTGACACTGATACTACAATGTATACAGTGGTCAAAATATCATGATCACTAAGCGCATTAATTTGTGAGCATACATGTATTTTAGAAATCAGTTTTATCAATTTATTAGGCTTTTTCTGTCTTTTAAAATTGAAATTGAAATGATACTGATTCTGAGTCATATGACTATACTACAATAGCGGAAAGGCTTTCATCAGATACTTCACACGGTGCCCATGTCAAGCTGCGCGCCTACTTAGGCGCGCAGTTTGTTTCGATCACAAACTGCGTGCCTAAGAACATTGGATCATTTAAGTTGGAGTCTGTATTTTGAAACGTTATTTAAAGACATTTATCCTGCATTGTTTTCTTGTTCAATGCGTTCATTCTGTGGCGAATATACGAATCTTGCAAATACTAGCAAAAACTGTGTGCAAATGAATCTTAGTTTTAAAACATAAGCAGATTAATGGCATTTTCGTCACTGATTTAATGGGAATTTATACGTAAATCGATCTAGCACTTTAAACATAAATGACAAATACTTTAGACTCGTTTTATATTTAATTCCTTACACATTTATCATGTTTAATTCAAAATATTTCGAAATAAAACAGATAATCAGGAGATTAAAAAGAAATAAACCACAAACTGCGCGCCTATTTTAGCCAGAAATTACAATATGTGCGCATACACTATTAAAACTACATATTATCATTGGAATTTCTACAGAGGTACGTGTAGGTGTTTTCGATGTAGCTTTGGAAATTTTGCTTTATCGTCAGATTTTATGAGATTTTCATATTGAAAGTCAAAATGTATAATAGAAGTGACAATTAAGTTGGGAACGAAAAAAACATTTATTTTCAGATCACCATCTTGGTGGATGGACTCTCATAGTGTTTCAATTATGGGGTTCTACTATTAGACTACGGAAAGCGAAAGGGGATATACCGCAGAATTTAAAATTCAATGGAGTTTTAACATGGGAGTGATATCACACACCGCGGCCCAGTCAGATATATTTCTGCGCACTTTATTTATTTAATTCACTTTGCACAACGCGCCCCTGTATTTCATTCAGTGCGCAATTAAAAATTGTTTATGAGTGATATCGCACACCGCGGCCCAGTAAGATCGATTTCTGCGCACTTTATTTATTAACATACTCAAAATATCGCGCTGAAGCTTGTATATGCTGGCGCGATGTAATTATAGTTTTCTGTTAATAAATGCCCAACAAGAAAGGGTAGCACAACGAATTCAACTTTTTTCGAAAGACTGCAGACTTGACCTGCGAAATTGTAATTTTGGATCACAGTGATGCCTCTAGAGAGGATATCTATGAGAATTACAGATTATAGTGCGCAGAATTATAAAGTCAAACTGACCTCAAAATGGTAGTACACAGTGTACACTGCCATCTTTCAATAAAGTAACTACAGACCTTCGTATACAAAATACCAGAATGATTGATGTAATACCTGTATACCATTTCTTCTGGGAGAAGGAAAGTTCCTATATGTATTCCATGGCCGTAGCCAGGGGGCCTCACCCCCCTCCCCCTTGCCAAATATTCGTTCAAAATCATGCAGTTTTTCACCATTCTTAGCACTTTTCGCATGATTTTTTTGCCATAACTGTCAAAAGGCTCCCCCCTCTTGGCAAAATCTCCCCCTTGGTAAAACCACTCCCCCAGGTTAATCCAGGATACGGGTCTGTATTCTTAGACGAGATTGTTCAAGAACATAAGGTAGACATAAGTGCCACCTGTTTAAAGCTAGGAGATCTTTTCTAAGTTATTAAGTCATCAATCAGCAGACTGGTAATTGTATCCCCCACCCACTTCAAACTCCATACACTAACATACTATTACAATTTTATCTGTGTTTATTTGACTGTAGAAGGTGTACATTCATAGCATTGAATTGCATTTCATCGCATTGTATTGTATTGTATAGCACATCATTGTATTGTATTGTACTGCATTTTATTGTATTGCACTGCATTTTATTGTATTGCACTGCATTGTATTCTATTGCATTATATTGTACTGTATTGCACTGTATTATATTATATTGCACTGCATTGTACTTTATTGCACTGCATTGTATTGTACTGCAGTGTACTACATTGTATTGCGCTGCATTGTATTGTATTGCACTGCATTATAATGTATTGCACTGTACCACATTGTGTTGCACTGCATTGTATTACACTGCATTGTTTTGAATTGCACTGCAATATATTGCACTGCACCATATTGTATTGCATTGCATTGCAGTGCACTGCATTGTATTATATTGCACTGTATTGTATTGCACAGTATTGTATTACATTGTCTTGAATAACACTGCATTTTATTACACTGCATTGTATTTTATTGCACTGCATTGTATTGTACTGCAATGTATTGTATTCTATTGCACAGCATTGTTTTGTATTGCACTGTATTGTATTGCATTGTATTGAATTGCACTGTATTGTATTTTATTGCACTGTTTTGCACTACATTGTATTGCACTGTATTGAACTGCGATGTATTGTATTGCACTGTATTGTATTGCACTGCACTGAACTGCGATGTATTGTATTGCACTGTATTGTATTGCACTGCATTGTATTGAACTGCGATGTATTGTATTGCACTGCATTGTATTGCACTGTACCACATTGTATTGCACTGCATTGTATTGAAATGAACTACATTGTAACTGTATTGTATTTTATTGCACTGCATTGCACTACATTGTATTGCACTGTATTGAACTGTGATGTATTGTATTGCACTGCATTGTATTGCACTGTACCACATTGTATTGCACTGCATTGTATTGAAATGAATTACATTGTAACTGTATTGTATTTTATTGCACTGTATTGCACTACATTGTATTGCACTGTATTGAACTGCGATGTATTGTATTGCACTGCATTGTTTTGCACTGTACCACATTGTGTTGCACTGTATTGTATTACACTGCATTGCTTTGTATTGCACAGTATTGTATTGCATTGTCTTGATTTACACTGCATTTTTTTACACTGCATTGTATTTTATTGCAGTGTAATGTATTGTATTGCACAGCATTGTATTGTATTGCAGTGTGTTGTATTGCATTGTATTGAATTGCACTGTATTGTATTTTATTGCACTGCATTGCACTACATTGTATTGCACTGTATTGAACTGTGATGTATTGTATTGCACTGCATTGTATTGCACTGTACCACATTGTATTGCACTGCATTGTATTGAAATGAACTACATTGTAACTGTATTGTATTTTATTGCACTGCATTGCACTACATTGTATTGCACTGTATTGAACTGCGATGTATTGTATTGCACTGCATTGTATTGCACTGTACCACATTGTGTTGCACTGTATTGTATTACACTGCATTGCTTTGTATTGCACAGTATTGTATTGCATTGTCTTGATTTACACTGCATTTTATTACACTGTATTGTATTTTATTGCAGTGTAATGTATTGTATTGCACAGCATTGTATTGTATTGCACTGTGTTGTATTGCATTGTATTGAATTGCACTGTATTATATTTCATTGCACTGCATTGCACTACATTGTATTGCACTGTATTGAACTGCGATGTATTGCACTGCATTGTATTGCACTGTACCACATTGTATTGCACTGCATTGTATTGAAATGAACTACATTGTATTGCACTGCACGGCATTGTTTTGCACTGTATTGCATTGCACTGCATTGTATTGCACTGTATTGTATTGCATCGTATTGCACTTCATTTTATTGTATTATATTGCACTACATTGTATTGTATTATATTGCACTGCATTTTTTGCATCATATAACACTGCTTTGTATTGCATCATATTACACTACATTGTATTGCATCATATTGCACTGCATTGTATTGCATCATATTGCTCTGCATTGTATTGCATCATATTGCACCGCATTGTATTACATCATATTGCACCACATTGTATTGCATCATATTGCACTGCATTGTATAACATCATATTGCACTGCATTGTATTGCATCATATTCCGTATTTACCATTTCGTTACAGTTTTATTACATAAAATGTTATTTATAAGATTATAATTTTCAAACATTGAAAATATTTTATACAATATCAATTAAAAGATATGAAATGGCCCAAAATAATATATTTTCAATGGAACCCTTTGCAAGGGTCACTTCAACATAACGCCATGTGTAATCTGTATGCATACGCCCTCTTTTAATGAACATTATCCTTGAAACCATATTAGAATCGAATCTGATAAAAGTGCGCATCATGGTCCTGGATGTGCTGCGCGGTAGAATCGGGAAATTTCAAAGTTCTCCTTGTTAGAGCCATCAATATTATCCAAAATTGTCATTTCGCTGGTTCACTCCGCAGTCTTTCGAAAAAAATCAAATTTGTGGTGCCACGAATTTTTATTCGTTATTTATTCACAGATAATCATTTTTTCATCGCGCACTGAATGCCGGAATTTCTGCGCACTTTATTTTAATTAACTTTGCACAACGCGGCCCCTGTAATTCATTCAGTGCGCGATGAAATCTATCTGACTGGGCCGCGGTGTGTGATATCACTCCCATGTTAAAACTCCATTCGATTTTGAATTATGCGCATGTCCCCTATAGCTTTCCGTAATTAGACACATATGTGCCTTGTATGGCGCTTATGTTTTCTAATAATACAAAACAAGCTTGGATAGGCAAGCAGCTTTGAAATATTAGGCACGCAGTTTGGGAAATACATGTGAATATAGGCGCGCAGTTTGACAAGAAAAATGTTTAAATCACGTTTATGGCGTATTATCGTTTTGAACACAAACTTTGCTGTTTTAATCAGATGGAGTGATCCTATATATTCTAGCATACACAGACACAATGGCTGAATAAACGGCAAATGACGATAAAAAGACATAGATATAACTTTACACTGTAAATTTTGAACACAGAAGTTACTTAAGACCCTTATATTGAGATAACTAGGTTTACATCGGGAAAAACATTGAGTACTATGAGTAAATTAAGTTCATCTTCACAGAATGGTACTATCTTTAGAACGAGACTAACCTTGTATTTTTCGTATTTTGGCTCTTTTTGGGAGTCGTGTCCTCCCCGTCTCACATTTTGAAATATGCGCGCAGTTTGTCAGAGTTTCAAACTGCTGCTTGACATGGGCATCGTGCTTCATCTTGCAGTGAATTTGATTATCTCGAATCACTAATTTCTGAACCCCTACTGCCTCTTACACAGCAGGCTCAACCCCAACAGTCACTGGCTGAAACCGAACAGTCACATGCCCTGCCCCAACAATCACAGGCTCAAACCCAACAGTCACATGCTCAAGAACAAAAGTCACAAATGACACATCAGACTCAACCTCAAATGTTACAGGTTCAACCCCACCAGTCAGATGCTGAACCCCAAGAGTCATATGTACAACCCCAACAGTCACATGCTGAACCCCAACAGTCACTCACTCATCCCCAACAGTCACAAATGACACTGCAGGCTCAACCCTATCAGTCACATGCTGAACCCCAACAGTCACATGTACAACCCAAACAGTCACATGCTGAACCCCAACAGTCACATGTACAACCCAAACAGTGACAAATGACACTGCAGGCTCAACCTCATCAGTCACATGTACAACCCCAACAGTCACATGTACAACCCAAACAGTCATGCTGAACCCCAACAGTCACATGTACAACCCAAACAGTCACATGCTGAACCCCAACAGTCACATGTACAACCCAAACAGTGACAAATGACAATGCAGGCTCAACCTCATCAGTCACATGTACAACCCCAACAGTCACATGTATAACCCAAACAGTCACATGCTGAACCCCATCAGTCAAGCTATAGTGAAAGTTATAGGAAAATAGAAGTCCCGGCACCAATAATTTCAATGACTCCAAATAACAGCCCTCAAAAAGCACCAGTAAAAAGGATTTTGACAGATGCACCTCGAAAAGGATGAAAGAAATTTTAAGATAACATAATGAGTGTATGTTTTCGACAATATGATTTTGAAGGCAGTCCTACGTAATGTTACATTTAAAAAAGTTTAAATCCCATAATATTCGAATCTACGAAGTTTTACATTTTGTTCAATCATGGTTTGTTCACAATTATTTGACTAATATTGAATCAATAACGTATCTCACTCATATTGTACATTTTGTGATATTTTATTTCCAAGCCTCAAGCGGCAACAATTCTTAAATGTCATCGTATCAACATTGTCTTTGTGAAAATTGATAACATTTTTTTTATTTTTAACTTGTAAAACTGCTGATTCAAAGGACGATTCTCGGTTTGGAGAACAGTCTCCTGGGCTAATAATTTTTTAATGAAAAATATAGAAATATTACCCAAATTAACCTATAAATATTCAAAAGAGGACATTTAAATCTACAAGATGTAAAATTTACAAATTGGTCTGAAGCAGGGATAAAGTTCAATTTGACCGATTCAATAAAATACAAGTCTCGATTTGGGGAAAAAAGTTCATCAGTGTACTGTGCTAATATTTTTTCGCGAAAAATCTAGAAATATTACCCAAATTAGATTATGACTGTTCAAAGGTAGACATTCAAATCTATATTATGTAAAAAAATCAAATTTGTCCGAAGCAGGGATAATGCTCATTTAGATTGATGAACTTCGTTCTCCAAACCGAGAATCGTCCTTTTAATATCTTCGTGATAATTGATATATTTTGCTTTTGACTTGTAAAACTGCTCAATCAACTTTAATATAACTTATGAAATCATGGATTTACCAAGTTTGCTAAAAGTTTAATAAAAGACATATTGATAAAACCTCCATTTAAAATTTTTGTATTATGTCTCTTCTCAAATGGTATAAACTGCTTGATTCAAATACAAGGTATAAATTCAAAATGTTGAGTACATGTACACTGTATGCTTATGTTTAAAAGTTGAATATAACTGATGTATGTATGACATAAAAATTTCTATTCAGTACTGTAACTATTAGACCAGAAAAAACCTGGATGATCTCAATGCCTTTATGTAACAGAATCACTGAGACTTGACCAAACTCTATAAGTGACTTAATTTGTGCATGGAGGTCTGCTTACTGAACCAACTGCAGTGATATATGAAAAATAGGATATACCTTGTGAGCTAGACTGTGTATCTTTACCAGTTTGAATCACTTATGACTTATTACTTATTGCTCTTAAGTCCATCTTCTTAAGATGCTTGAATAAAGTTTACTCTATTAAACTTACTAACTATAGCGTTATGTATCAATTACCAGTCGACAACGAACAGTATTGAAACATCATGGTGATATTAAAAAACTGTAGTGTTGTTCTATGGTCTTTTGGATGTACAATTGCGTTAGGATATATTGCACTTGTATCAATGAAGAATATAAATTCGCACTATCAGCGGAGAAACGAGGTAAGTGACTGAAACATTGACAGTATTTGTTATTTGAGCGTCAACTTCGAAATTGAAAAATTAACCTTAGGGAATTTTTTACAAACATGTATGAAACAATAGAACATATACTATACTCTACTTCTAATACATGTACTAGTGTCAGCCATTCTGCACTTCCGGTAAAAAGCAAGTTCATAATTGATTTTACATCAATAGATACATATATATACCCGATATATCTCATCCCAATCATTCCGCTGTTTTCACCAAAATTTAAGATGACTGCTGCAAGCATCTCAATATTACAGCGATAAACACATTAGCAAGTAACTTTTCCTTTGAAAATAACAGAGCTATGATTTAAATATTTTACACACATAATTAATATGTCATTTATATTTATTTGTGTGAATTTGACCAAAATCTGTGCTATCATTACCGAGATAACTGTGTTTAATATTTAGCACATACGCGGTTCAATAAAACAATATGTAGTGATTTAACAATGTACAGTGCGTATCAAAAAACGCAACAGATTGTTATCTTGGAAAAGCACAAAACCAGTGATAACAGCATTGATTTCATTCAATGCACCATAAAGCCACGTGTCTCCTCTTTACAATGATATATCATTCATTGATATTTGGTCATGGTTGGGTGAGTAATCATTCCATTTGCAAAGTGGGCCAAAATCAGCTTCGAGCCAAGTTATAAACATTGCAAAAGTCAGTGTACGGAGCCCGATGCAATATTGGACGAAAACATAAAATCAATGCTGACTGTATCCTTTTAATTCAATGTACCAAAAAGCCAAATTACTCCTCTTTGCAATGGAATATCATTCATTCACAGGGGGTCTCTCTGGCCGAATAATCATTAATTTTGCAAAGCGGGGCAAAATTCAGCTCGGACCCAAGTTTAAAACATCGCAAAAGTCAGTACAAGGGGCATAGGGGCTATTGGAAGAAGGTGTGACAGGTATGGTATAGACAGTAAAGTGTTCATACTCATACTCTTGCAAGAATACATCCTATAACCCTCCAAATTGCCACCACTTCCTTGCACATAATGATGCGCTCATCTGTCTACATCATGTATGGTTCAGCCCTGAATCATGTGTGGGTTAAAGCAAAGAAAAGCAGCCCATGGGCAAATCTTTCTCGAGGTTTTGCAATATCTGGTGGAGGAATTGTGAGCACAGATGCTCCTGAGATAGCTCCAAAAGAAAAAGTCACAACAATTCAAGTCAGGGGAACTCCCTTTACGGTACATTAAATGAAATTGATGTAGTCATCAGTAGTTTTGTGATTTTACGAGATAACTACTTGTTGCGTTTTTTTTATACACCCTGTATAGCCTTGCACAGTTAAAGATGCAATTTCTCCTTCCAGGTTTCTTAATGACATTATAGATCGTGTGCTAACTACCCTTTGCATTAGTTTAACTTCACTTCTTAAAAGAGAGCTTTGTTGTAGTTTAACTAGACTCTGCACGCAGGGTATGTGCTAACTGCACTTGTATCATTATTAAGAAACTCGTCCTATAAACGGGTTTAAACTGGGAAAACAAAATATCTTACGAAAATCTATCACCGGTAGGCCTTGATGCAACAACATGCACGGTGTTGTTGCATCACGTACGAAACGTAGGCAATAATATTGTATTGTATGTTTATATATTATATATGGAGTAAATGAGAAATGAAAGTTACAGTTCTTATTAAATGATGACTAGGATGAATCCTAGATGATGGTAATACATCGTCGGTCCCCACACTCCAAACAGTCATAAGTTTGATGAAGCGAGATGAAACAGCATGCCATTTACGATATATGTAATATTTGGCACATACAACCATAATGTCAATGTGTAGCCAGATATATATAACATTTAAAAGTTAATGGAGCATATGTTGTACCATGGTGTGCCGGGTATGTCCTAGTATTTTAACATTGGTTAAAAGCAACATTGATTAAAAAAATGCCCTCCCACAGAGTCGACTTTTTGGTAACATGTCGACAGTGATCCGAAACGAATGAATAATGGAAAAAGCCAATATATAACATAATACTATATTTATCCTGATTAGCAAAATAGCATAATTGCTAATGTAAATGCTTCACAATTACATGATACAAATATAAGTACAGAATCTAAATACATGCAGTTACAATAAAGAAAAAAACAAACATACAAGATTACAATGTACTTGGGTAGAGAGGACATCTCACTTTATTAATACTCTTAAAGAATGTAAATAAATTCTACAAGATATTGAAAATCCCCCAAACATATATGGCAACAACTAGCCTGATGACAAAATCAATAGTATGATAAAAAAAACAGAGGCAAATTATCACTTCAATGGAAACTTTGTGACGTTTGGCGGCATAAGGATCGAGTTAGGAGTTAGCAATTGGCACTAATCTAAATCACGTGTAATATCCGTCCCTCGATACAAGCCCTACTTTGGCATTGTGGGATCAACAGCCTTTACTATCCTTTTGGAATAGTTCTCTCAAAAGCGTTAGGTAAAGAGGGACTCTGATAATTCAGAATGCTACTTTGGCAATAAATGTAATCTATGAGTTTTCACGAACAAACCATGAGTTTTTACGAACAATTTGCTCTGGTCACACCTGATCACTTAAATATTTTCGTTCACATCTTGTCACATAGTAGGTGTTTGTTTGTTATTTTACCCATTATTGTTTTCCATTTCAATCAAATAAACGGTGAATCTTTGCGACTTTACATGATATTAAGTTCCTTAAAGACACTATCCAATGAACCAGCTGTGTTGTAATGTCACTCGGCTTTATCACCCTTACATTTAATATGTTAATTAGAGTCTTTATACAAAATTGTTACTCGAGAAAACTGATGTTTATTGTTTCATGTTGATAAAAAATATGCTAATTTTTAGAAATAGATTAATAATTCGTAATTCAAAGATTACTCAATGCTACTAGAGAACAGAATCTTGCTTCTATTTAATTAAAAATTCTAACCCAATTGTCTACCCTATTAGTATTTTGTGAGAAAAATGGAGGTATTGGAAATGATGTCAATTAATATTTCCAGCCCTAAAATACTAGTCATAGTTGGCTAGTTTTTGCTATACAGAATCTGTATAGCAAAAACTAGCCAACTATGAGATTATGCAAATAAGAATTCAAACATATAGAGACTTTAACACGAAAATCCAATGGGGGATGTAATGGGGGAGTAAGGGTTGCCAAACTTGCCAAACTGGCAGACTCGAAATGTGGACCCCTCCTTGTTAGTTTCTGTATCAGCGAGCCTATGTGAATACTTTAAGGAACTAGAATGAATGGAGGGGGTTCACGAATAACATGAAAAATAGAACCCCTGGTCACCAAATTCTGGCTACGCCAGTGACATAGCCGTAGGGACCAGGAGTTCGATGGGTTCGGACGAACCCCCGGTCAGGGTTTCCCCAAAAAATATTTGTGGAAAACCAGAAACATTAAATTCAATTCATATGATGTTTATATGTTGGTGTGAAATTAGCTTTAACATTAAGTTGGTTGGTCTTGGGATTCCCAAAAGTGTTTCAATTGTAGGGGTGTTCTACTTAACAGGTTTCACTGTATGAACAAAACACTCGATCGGGCGGGCGCCGGACGATGGATCGGAGCAAATGTGACCAAAGCATAAGCTAGCTCCCTGCTAGCAAACAATACGTTTATTTGCACTCATATATAGTCATACAACTACACACCACGGCCTTTTGTACGAGTTGTGGATCACTTTGAACATTATTTATTTTTTACAGGTGCAAGTTAGGATGACTTCCCCTGAAAAAGACAGTCAAACAAACTATTTCAACGTTATGCCAAAAGCAGCACGAGTTCACTACAATGTATCAATTTTACCCGTAAATCCTGTAATCCGGGGCATTGACACAAATATGACAGATGCCCAAGCAGAGGACGAGTTCTTCTAGTAAGTCACAGAACATGGTTATATTCGATAAATCCGTAAAGCTAAGTTCACACCAACGGGGTTTTGATGGCTCTTTAAAGCGGCATGCAAAGCGGCTTTGCACGGCGCTTTAAAGCGCCATCAAAGCGCCGTTGGTGTGAACTTACCTATAAATGTTCTGTAGAAAATACCTCAGATGAAAATAAAGACCACTTCTAATGCTGTTCAAAGTGATTTTCCGTTTAAAATACTGGTGGAACGAAAACATTTGAAAAAATTGCTATACCTGCACATGTTATTTTCTGGTACAAAATAAAGTATGAAGGCATGAAGGTAACTCCTGTGTCGTCCAGAAACGTGGAGAAAAAACTTGGAAAATTAGAAAGCATGAAATATCAGCATTTCCTGGAGTTACTATTTACCTCTTTCCAGGTTTATTAAAAGAAGATAAGGTAATGATGCTTTTCTGAAAAAGCAAGAAAACGCATATGTCTTCATACTTTATTTTGTCCCAGAAAAATCAGAAAATATGTGCAGGCAAAGGAATTTTTTCAAAAATGTTTTCGTTCCACCAGTACCTTAAGATCGAGTTTACATATAGTTGTGTGTGTATGTATTTTGTCCTTCATTAACAAAGTCTGATTATCTTTAATACCAGCAAATGTACTTTTCTTAGGCATATACATGTCTTAGAAACCATAATTGGATTTGTTTTTCAGCTTGACTACTCACAAGCAAGTCAATTGCAAGACAAGGGTGCGAATAGGAAAAAAGGGGGATGGGGGTTGGGATGCGTGTAATGAAGAGCCATACAAACTACGCGAACCATGTCTTGTTTACTCTATTGGGTACGTACTAGGCAGTCGGATTTTCCTATTTCACAGTTTGTAAAACTCGTTCAACTTTTAAAAATATTGGATTTTTTGGCTCACCCTGTAGATATAATATAAACATTGCACACCTGAGGTTTCAGGTCAAAGAGTTGAAATAAATTTCTACTACTAAAGCAACAGTTTAATTTACTCTACGGCGGACGTACGGGGGCCGCAGCTTCACAAAATCAATATAGAAAATCTACATCGTACTGCCTATCCCTATATTTTAAGCGACACATTTCTTTTGATTTTGGGAAGCTACTGCCGCTGTACGGTTGCCGTAGATCAGATGTGACTAAGGTATTCGATAAAAATCTAGTATGACCTCCATCAATTTCATTTTCAGAATCAACAATGATTGGAGCTTTGATGATGCCGTTGTAAAGCAGGCTGGCTGCGAGGTTCATGCATTTGACCCAACGTAGGTAGCATATCTATTTGCTAATATGTAAAGCTAAGTTCAGACCAAGGCGCTTTGATGGCGCTTTAATGCGACGTGCAAAACTGCTTTGCACGCTGCTTTAAAGCGCCATCAAAGCGCCATTGGTGTGAACTTAGCTTAACAACTACTAGTATGCTTTGCTTACTTAACTACATTTTTCTAACAAAGCCATTAATGTGTTCTGAGTAATGAATATATAGATATGTTTCAAGTGTGTTCAAACTTTGGTGTTGTCCGATTCGAGGCCCTTTGACATGTTTGACATCTTCTTGCACCCAGATACGGAACATTGGAAACCTTCAAAAGGGAACACCTTAGAATTGCTAAGCAGAGTTTTTTCAAAAATCTCCCACAAAAACTACCACTTTTTATAAAATTTACCGCACGGGCGAACTTAACAATATTATATAGGCCGCATTTTTGTGCTACCGCATTGGTTCGGTATCATCGGGCGACGGTAACACAATTTCCCGGGCGGATACTAATGCAGACGCGCGATTTCTATTGGTTAAAATCAATCGCGGGAATAAAAAACATTCGCGCGGAAACATGAATTATTCGCGCAATTGTTCGCGCGGTTCTGGCGGCGATACCGCGTCATACTCAACAGCATAAACTTATGCATACCTTAGTAAATTGTGAATGAAAGAATCCCGCGTGCGATTCAGTTCCAAGATTATGGTAAAATCGCGAAATTTACCTATAAAATCCCCGGGGACTTGTCAATCTGATATTATAACCTGGTACTCTAATGCGTTTCGTTTTGTGTTAAACGTTCATCCAGTATTATCGTACGATAAAAGGGATACAGATAAATGTATCCTTCACTGGCTTATTTAGATCAAATAAACCAAAAAGTGACGATATTATATATACGTATATAACAATTTCTAATTGCATGACAAGGTCTTCATACCATCACGTCGGCGTGACAGGGTACATGTGTGAATAAACAAGATGCACCCATATTTAAAAAGGTATACCCGATTTACGACTTCCGCTGTATCTTTAAAGTTTGCATCTACATTTTCATGTTATTTGGCTTGTAGTATGAATATAACCGATCACAAGAGAGGGAAATCCATATACTTTCATAACATAGGACTAGGTGTAGAAGACACAATTAATGATCTGGGATGGAAGATGAGGCGTGTCTCCACAATCATGAAGGATCTGGGACATGATAATGTAAGGAACACTTCCCCTAAAGGTTCTGCAACTGGAAAACTTATTTTACATTTTCGATTTCAACAAAATTATACTAGTATCTATCATGATTTCCCATGAGATTCAAACAATACGTTTTTAAAATTTTTACTAGACATTTGGTCATAGTAATTTTTTCTTGTTTTTATGTAAAGCTAAGTTCACACCAACGGCGCTTTGGTGGCTCTTTAATGCGGCGTGCAAAGCGGCTTTGCATTAAAGCGCCATCAAAGCGCCGTTGGTGTGAATTTAGCTTAAGAATCGGCGTGGGATGCCTCAATATTAAGTCTATATTTAATACGATTTTGTAATAATTTATGATTGAATTACACATAATTCATTACTCTACTTATCATGAAATAAATGTGCTTTAAACCGAAAGTGAATTTATTTTTCAGAAGATAATAGACTTTTTCAAAATGGATATAGAATATTCAGAATGGATGGTGTTTCCTGAGATGATCAGAGATGGAGTTCTGGGAAAAATTAAACAACTTGTTTTCGAATTTCATACACATATGCGAAAACACACTGGCAATACTGTAGCAAGTTCTCATTATAAAGAACCCACAAAAGAACAATACATAACAAAGTGGAAAACTTTAGAGCAATTAGAAAAAGCTGGACTGAGACGATTTTTTCACAACACTAACTGGGGAGGAAAGTATCAATCAAAGTATACGAGGAAAATAAGATCACCTTACCAGGAAGTGTATTATCTAAATGTTAACTATTTAAACCCACATTGAATTTACTTCTTCTTTAGATATTAGATCTTTTAAATTCTTGTTCACGTGTAAAAGGCATGCATTTTTAGATTTTTATGTCACCACCACAAGTGGTGACATATTGTTTTCGTGGACGGCAATTGGCGGCGTCTGTTAACAAATGACAGGTGGTGACATTTTGCAATGTATCTTTTATTAAGATCTAAAGCAATCACTCTAAAAATATATACTTGTGTTTGTATTATTTTTACATTTTCACGTAATTTAATTACTGGGCCAGGTAATTGTTTTTGTACCTTTAGGGATTAAATTTTGTAATTATATTACCTGGTCAGTATTAAATATTCAACCTAGTAATTCTAGTAATTTACATTTTACTAAAGTAAAAAATAAATTATTTGTATTGCAATAACAATTACTTTATACATATTTCTGTACTAAGTAATTTTTCATTATTGGTGATTATGTGATATTTAGTAATTACAATACTGGTAAGTAATTAAATTTCTTAAGTTTTAGAATTACCAATTAATATTTTTTTAGAAATACTTGTTTTGTTTAACTAGTGGCTTGGATTTATATACATAGTAATTTGAGGACTATTGTTCTCAAGAATCCACTATGTCCATGAATACATGTACTTACGTACAGCACTGAGAACAAATTATAACTTTACCTAAATAGAGAGCAGATCTAATAGATAACTGAATATCACAAAATTGAGTTTTTCTCCTTAGACTGATTTCAAATAGAGATAGCATTAATTAATTGTATGTTAATCAGCTTCATATAAAATAGACATAGTTCTTTGCAAATGTATCATTTTATGATTTTGTTACAGTTTTTTTGAATGAAGAATCGATTTTTGATTTAAAAAGAGGTAAATTAAAAAAACATAATTTCAAACTACATTTAGTAATTCAATAACTACTATAAGTAATTTGAAATACTTAGTAATTAAATTACAAGAAGGGGATTTGTGATCTGTAAAATACACTGAGAAAAAGACATTTTATAAGTGAATAACATATATGAATAATCAATTTACTTTGGTGGAACTATGATTACTGAAATGGATCAATTTACAAATGCAAACAATATTTTGGAAAACATTTTGTATTAGCTGATAGCTATTAATGTAATCCAATAAATATAGTATTACACAAAACAATATTTGGCAATACAATTACATTTGATTTCACTTAAACAAGTAATAACGTGAATGACTTACAGAAGTACTAAGTAATCATATTGAGAGTGGTAGTAAATTACTAGTATATCTAGAAGAAATTACTCAGTAATATAATAACATACAAATAAAATGAAAATACAGATATTAGTAATTTATTAACGTTGATAGTATAATAATTACTGAATTTAGTGATTCACATCCAAAAAACAAATGCCCATGCACAAATATGAGCGCAGTAGCTGTACACGAATCCGACCAGGAACCCTCCCTATAAGAATCAAACGATTCACAGGTGTCGAATTACACGACAGAGTATGCCTATGCAACTAGAGTGTTGAAGACGAACCACATCCTAAATAATACAGGAGTTTAGCCTAGTTCATATGGTGTTTAAACTGCTTCTTTATTCGGTACATTAAATATTCCATACATACCAAATAAAACAAACAATTTACCAAACCTTTACCCAATCTATCGAATGTTTTTTATTCTATCGAATATAATAATCGATACAATTTATATTCGCTGAACAGTTTCACTTGTTCTTTGTGTTGGCATTTACTTTTGATATCTATACATGTATTTGTGTGATGCAGCGATTCAATTTGTTTTCCTTAGCGCACGTATAATTCAATTGATTATATATACATTCGGTATTTAACTTATTTATATTCGGTAAATACCGAATGCCACATTCGATTATTTTCGTTATTTTTCGATACTTTACGAGACTTTCAGTCACGTGATATATGAAAACGATGTTGAATAGCTGCGCGGCCATTTTGCAAAACTCGAGGTCATGTGACAAAATATCGAACAACAACGAAACTTATCGAATAATGCTTTAATTTTAATTATTGCATTCGGTAAATAGCAAATTAGCTTTCGGTAAAAAGCATTAACTATGTTATTGAAAAATAAATCATTTGGTAAATATAGACAAACTTATTTCGGTAAGAGTTCAAATAGAAATTCGGTATTACGCATATATGTATTACTCTTAAGAAATATCATAACAGTTTACGCAAAACATATATCATTTAGTGAATAAGATATGTAATTTAATGCACATAGTAATAAGGGATTTAATCCATTGGCTATTTTGAAAACTTAATTCGCTGTAACAAATATATAAATGTTTTTATCGAACAGAAAATTGATTTAGCGAATGTAAATATTCAATGCCGATTCATTGCCGCTTTTGATCCAATGACTATATAAAGATGCAGTAGATCCATAAAACCATTGCATCTTTGACTCGAGAACACGATGGCAGAACAACGAGATCCAGAAATTCCAGATGGACCAGAGCATGACCTATCTGAAGAAGACATGACGTTTGTCGCACGGCGTGATATAGCGTGTGGAAACTTGTCAAGCGTACAGCAAAGCGTTTCAATCCTTGATTAAAGCGTCTCAATTCGTTGGAAAGCTTGAGAGTCCTTCATGAAAGTGTAACAAAGAGTGTCACATATTGATGATAGCCTCTGACCCCGTGTCAGATCTTCATGCCAGATCGTAGCAAATCTTGAGACATCTTAACAAAGCGTGTCAAGTGGTAATAGACCGTGAACAGACTGGGGTCCCCGCTTTGAACCAAGCTCTGTTAAGCTTTCCTACGCTTTGAGTCAAGCTTCGTTGAGCTTTGTCACGGTTTGTTAAGCTTTGATACGCTCTCGGCGCTTCAATCAATTCGTAACAGAGCACCCAAAATTTTAAAACGGTTTAAATTTTTTGGCGCTCTTGCCGACTATCCCGCTTTACTCCGAGCTTTTCTACGACCTATTACTACCCCGGGGACCGTTCTTGGAAACGGTCGTAACTTACGACCGGTCGTAAGTCATTGTTCTCTTACTACGACTGGCAAAAAATGCGTTTTTCGTACATCGTCGTAACATCCGAACGTCGTCACTATTTCCGTAAGTTACGACTTTCACTAAAAATCGGTCGTAACTTACGACCACGGTTAGGGGTGTCTTAACTTACGATTTGGTCGTAACTTAGCTCACTGTTCGCCATTGTGTGGCTAATTAGTTTGGACATCAATTTTTTATTCATTTTTGTATTTGGTGTAGTTGAGGATATTTTGCTGTTTGATTGGGCACTAATTATTGAATTAAGTTTTGTATTTGGTGTGATTGGAATATCTTGCACATCGAGTATACATGTTGTGCCCCACGGTCTGCTCCAAAGTATCCTTACGGTTTTGAATGTCGTGATTTTAATAAGGTGAATATGTCTGCAGAGACGTTAAAAAGCCTTCATATTCAATGAGTTGAAAGAAACATACATAAGATCACGTGACAAGCGACACAATTTCATTGGTGTCTCAACAAGAAAAGTTAAGAGAAGTATCATTGAAAAGAGTGGGAGAGAGCAATTTTAACTGCATTCAGAGCATAGAGAGAGCATATGATACTCAAAAGGAATCAGTTCGACGACTGCTTCGCTTGCAATCAAAATGCGAACTTTGTATATCCTCCATTTAGCAACCGGAAGGTCCTTTCCGGATCACGTATTTAAGCGTTTTAAAAGGTAAATATCAAGGTGGAGAATCAAAACGATGGCACAGCCGCGGACTGCGATTCGCGTAACTGTGCAACGCAGTTCAGCGCAAAGAAATGAAAAGACATCCGGCAGTGCCTTCCACATCAAAGGACAAAACTGAGAAATTTATTTAAATGCTATTTTATTGTTTTTTACAGATAACTCTGTATCCATTGTTGTTTTGTTGATAAAAAAACACATGTAAGCAGTTGTCCAGATTAAACTTAAACAGTAGCAAAATTTTGATTTTACCTGTAAAACCTGTACATGTAATTCAACGAAACCATACATTTGAAAAGATTTTCAACGAGTTTCTGAATATCTTATAATCTTGATTGAAACTCCAAGTATGTGTTGTGAGAATGATGTGATGATAGAATGTGTTTATGAGTCGAAAATTAGATTCAAATTGCGCATTCACAGTGAACAGTCCAGTACCCTATGCCTTTGGCTGTGCTGTGCTTGCGTTTAGCTTTATTTAAAGCAACACCGTACCGAGTGCCGTAATGCGTTGGGCAGATTGATGGAATGCAGCTATTCTAAACTCCAATTTTCTCAGTAAAGGTACATTTTCCGCTTACAAAATACCACCCAGAGATGCTATGATTTTTTATTACCCATCTTGAATGTTATTAATCTCATATTCAACTTCAAAATTATATTGAAAAAAGTAGAACTTGGTCTGACATTTGGAAACTTGAATTTAAGCCAGAAAAAGCAGAGTTGAACAATAATGCAAATAATTATCTTCCGATTGTTTTAATTTGGTCATGTGATTACAAGAACTGACCCTCATAAAAATCATAGTCCCTAACCTTGTATTTGCGAATTTAATTACTGGCTGACGGCTGACGGATTAACCTATTTTTTTATGGCCAAAACATTTACATATAACCTGGCACTATTCCATTCATATTTAAATGAGTGTGCCATAAAAAGTAGCTTAATAAGGAAGCCGACAGTCGCTACTTGCATTCGCGTATACAAGCTACATTGTAAGATCCAGACAGCTCTCATCCAATGAAAGCTCTGAAAGGATTGAAGTATAAACATCTCAAGATCATTTACTATGCTAATATCCAGTCACTTTTTGACTACTGTGACATCCTTTACAGGTCCATAGCAAGGGGGTCGTTTTTTAAATTTGTGCTTTAATCTTCAAAATTTGGGCTTTTTGGCTTGGGATTAGCCTAAAATACTCCTTCAAATAGCCCTAGAGAAAGTATTTCGATGATGAAGACGACAGAACAATCACAGAGAACCGGATCAATTATCGTCAAATGATTTAGCAGCTTGATTTAGCAGTTAATAATGGAGTTCCACCTCAACCATGTAGCGACCGGGGGTTCGAGAAGTTCGTGCGAACCCCCGGTCAAAATTTCCCCAAATTTCCCCATGAATAATTTCAAAAGTGTTCGAGGAGTTTACGGTAAAGATCGCTAAAATGAACCAAG